ACACACACACATACACACATGCACACACATACACACATGCACACACATACACACACATACCTACAGGGAATAAATAACACAGACACATTTTTGCTTCATTGATAGACATTCTGCTTAAAAATTATGCTTCATTTTTAAGTTCATCTTTTGAGGAATTCAATGTATGCTATTTTCTTCTTTTGTTAATTTGTCTGTCAACAAATTGCTTCTTCCAATAGGCCATAGTAAGCTTCTTCCATCTTAACTTTTTACTGCAAATTTTTTGTTATCCTTTAAAAAAAATTGCATTACATCATTCATATAATTAGTAATTAATCAATTACAAGCAATATTTTCGTCATTGAATTTCTATATTTGGCAAAAAGAAAAGAAAAATCGCAATCCCATAACACTTTATTTTTACATATAAATTTTTATTATCGTTTTCGATTCGGTTTTTTTTGAATGTTAGAAATTATCAGTGACGGACGGCATTCGCTGATTTTTTTTTTCAACTATAACAATTCTCATAGTTTTAAATTCCCACTGGGAGATGTTGCTGAGTGATAAAGAGCGAAAATGCTTGAAGTATTTCATTCTTTAATCTGCCTGCATGTGACGTAATGAAAAGTGCACAGTAATATTTTAGATTGTATCATTTATTTATTTAATTAAAATAAATTGTAAAATTCACATATATAAATGGATAATATGTGAAAATTTTAGAATGCTATAAAAACAACGTAATATATTTCGGTTATTTTATGCATCAAATAATTTTAAAACAGCTTAATTTGTTTAGTAAATATTATTTTGTTTTTGTGTCTGTATCTATAAAATATCAAACATCTGTAAATATTACATCCATGAAATTTATCCCAAATTACAGTAATTTCTCACAATTAAATAAAAAATGTTTTTGAGAAAAGGTGATTATTAAATAATCTTTTGGACGTTAGCTAGGCTGCTTTAAAACGAGCAAATTAGTTTATGGAAACCTCACATCTTCGTTTCTCTACCACAAAACTAATTTATGAAAAATTTATGCACTGAAAATGTACCAGAATTCGATACCAAGAGTGACGTCATTTCGGAATATATTTTGATATCAAAGTGACGACATCACTGAGGAATATATCAGCGAAATATTTCAACATTAAAATGTTATTATCATTTAGTTTTTCAAAGATATTCAATTTAGCAAGTCTAAAATTCATTGCATTTTTTAAAAAGTAAAACTTTTGTTTTGATTGTCAAATTTCGATTATCATAGTAGCAATTTTGACTACAGTTATAGGTTCTGCTTATAAGCCATTTCAGATTCATTTCATCTCATTTCAGTCTAATGTATGAATTGCAAATTCATCTAGTCCATGGAGTCCACAACATTGTTTTTCTCAAGGCTGTTAAAAAGCTAATTTAGCATAGAAATTTTTTGCTATCAAACTTTTGGACTTTTTCATTGAAAATTGCGATGAAAATTTTGATTTACTGCCACTTTTCTTTCAAAAAAAATATCCATTACATACATTGTTAAATGATTTTAATTTAAAGCGAATTTTTATTTTCTACTGTCATCAAAATTTCATGTCAAATTACTTTATATCATACCATTTGTAGCAATAACAAGTGATGACAATCGTATATTTAATTAGCGCATCCCCAAAGCAAATAAATCTTTTTTTTTCTTCACAAAAAAATAATTTCAATTATAACGATAACTTTTTCAAAAAAAGCATAAAATACTGATAACACGTGGTACTGTATACCACATTGCATACTGTACATCACAGTATATACCACATGCTACATTGTATACTGTATACCATAAACATACTTTATACCAGTAAATGCTTTATTAATGAATTAATATTAATTAAAGCTCTTATTGTTCCATGAAGTATGAAAGAGAAAGAACAGAATTTCGTGGAAATTTATGAAAAGAAAGAAGAAACTAAAATGAATGATGTAACAAAACTGATGGTTCCAAAAATATCGATCATTGAGTATAAGACTGAAAGCCATCAAGCAGATGAATACTTCATTAATTGCCCAACTGATTCCTATATTATCCTTTATGCTTTTCCAATTTCAACAAATATCACTTGCTTATCGTATTTGCATAATATTTAGAAAATGATTCGTCGTAAAAATATTATATCCATTTATCAAATTTTCTTTCTACTAATGTCACTATCCATCATTAAAATTTATTAAATTTGACTTATTTATAAATTATTGACATAAAAAGAATCGTTTAAGATTTGATCATGTACAGTATCGTTGGATTGTTCACATTTCAAACCATTTGATTACAATTTAATAACTTTTGCAGTTGCACTAAAAAAAATGATCTAAAATTACCTCAAACTTTTTTGAAAATCAATTTTTAATTAATATCCATGATTCTTAAAATGGATATTTCAGGAAGTGACAAAAAAACTGCTATGATTTATGAAAATTTAAATTTTTTCTAAATAACTAATATTTATATGTGTGGTAATTACAACGATAATTGTAGTTCGATTGTTAAAATGTCGATGCCAGACATAATGTCATCAGATTCGATCAATCCAACATCTTTATCAAGTCAAAGTTCTGGTAACATTCTGACGCTATTGAATGTTTTATACACGCCCGGCTTACCCCTTTACACTCCCAGTCTTCCACTGCTAAATGGTCAGTTTTTTTATTACAAATATTTTCATTGACAGCAAAAAAAAAACAATATTTATAAAATGCACAGAAAGTATTTCGAAAAGATTAAAAATTAATAAAAAAAAAATTCATTTGAAATACTTTTTTTCACATCAATCTCAAAATGTTATTGATCATATGATGATGTTTTATCAAATTTGTGATATTTCTTGATTTGGCAAAAAATTTATACAAAATTTAAACGTCTGAGAAGGAGCAAAAGATAAATAGATGTTTGTAATGCTTAAACAATAAATCAATTTATTCTTTGAATTTAATTAAATTAAATTTCAGTCTTCTTTTAAAAGGATATTTATAACATTGCAGTCGAAAAGTAAACAAAAATGAAAATGAATAAAGTGCTAATTTTGATGAATTCAATGCGATTTTCTTTCCAGAAATTTTATTCTCTCCTTCATTTCTTTCATCATATTTTAAAATCTTATATTTTTGTTTGTTTATTTTTATCAATTGCGTTATTAGATACTGTTTTCCATTTCATAAATTATTGTCTGTCACTGAAGTTTTCTATTTTTGAATTTAAATTCTACTGCTAACAATACAAAATATGAAAATAACAAAACAGATTCAAGCAATCCATTATTCTTTTCAACTTTAAAAATATCTTCCAGTTGAAATGAGAAAAACGAAAAAGTTAAGAATAAATGCATGCAATATTTTATCTTTTTGTCAACTTCTTCACCATATTACATTTAATAATTGATAAATGACACAATTTGTTTATTTCTTATCATTTCTTCAAAAAAAAAGCTTTGATAAGTAAAATATTTTACAAGAACCAAATAAATTATCTACAATTTTAAACGATATAACAGTGAAATGTTATGCTACGGATAGTGATCAAAAATCTGCCGCTACTAAATGAATTTTGTTAGCGAATTTCGTAAACATTCGACGCAGTGTTTTTTTTTTATCAAAGTTTCACGGTTTGATCGTGCATATTGAGATTTTGCGTAGACCAAAAGCATGAATAAAGCTATCAATATTGGCTATTCAGCAATTTTTTTTTCTAAATTTAAAGTTCAAAATTATCAAATTGATGAAAATTACTAATAAATAAATTTTCGTATTTTAAAATTCATTAATCGTAATCTACGACACTTCAAAAAAAAAAGAAGAAATCAAAATCAACGCAACGGATGATGAAACAAAATTGCTAGTTATAAATTTTAAATTTACATTAATCATTTTCTGTCTTATTTTCATTCTTTCTTTCTTTTCTCTTTCATCTGTATGGATTAAAATTTATTCAGCTTTATGCCAAACATCACTTCCCGTTTTTTCATTTTTTGTTTTGACAATTGAATGATGAGTTGAAAGAGACACGGAAGCAACTAACGTCCACACTCAGTGCGTTTATAAAATTTTAAAAATATTTCAATTTTGTCATAACTGTGAAGGACATCGGATAATTTTTCCAGTTAAAACATCAGCTATTCACTCATATTATTGTCTCTTCAAATTTTTAAGAAAAATGTCGTATCGAATGAAAAGTTTGTCATTTATTTTACTTACTGCTTGTTTCAGTTTGTATACTATCACAAACTCTTTCTCTTTCTATTTCTCTTCCTCTTCTCTTCAGCATTTTTACACTTCATGAATGATTAAAATAAATAATTTAGATTTAATTTAAAAAGACGGAAGGGAATTATGAATGGAAAATTACATTTAAAGGAAGTGAGGGAAAAAATTTAACGGAGTAAGTAATAGTAATTGCAGCTTTACAGTCTCTTTATTCTTCTCTTTCTTTAACAATAATAGATTCTACAGACTTATAATCGCAGAAAATGTGCAAATGGCAAACTTTTAATTCAATCAGATTGAATTAATTGCTAATGCAATGAAAAATCATAAATTCAAAGCTCTAAAATTTATGCTTTTTTAATAAAAAAGTCAATAAAAATGATTCAATACGAAAAAACTCATAAAATATTAAAAGAAATCATGAATAAGAGTTAAACTAATATCTCGTGATTTTTTTTTCGTATTTTGAATTATTTTTATTGACTTTTTTTATTAACTTTTACATGATGAGATGAATTCAATTTTACCTCATATAATTAATATACGATTTGCAAAACAATAAAAAAACAGTTTAAAAAAATCTTCCTAAAAGTAGGAAAACAGAAACAAGAAAAAATCACTGCTATAAGTGAGGGGTATCATATCGAGTAACTGAAAAAATGATAATTATAGCGCTATTATTATCACCAAGGCATTAATATATAGTGTGACAGTGAAAAAAAGCTTAAATAACAGTAATAACTTTATTGAAATTAATTTTTTACACAAAATTAAGTATGAAAAATACAATAAATTAATTATTTTAGGTCGTACAATGCATGCATTATATGCAATCAGTTTTATCATCTATTCGATCACCGATCTATGCGATTGGCTCTTTGTTTACTTCACTCTTCGTGGTTATGTTACATCATTTCCATTAAAAACTTGGCTCGCTATAGCGCTTGCCTCTACAACAGTTTTTGGCTCTATGCTAACATCTCTTCTGTTGGTTGGTCAATTGTTATTTTATCATTTAACTATAACGAGTAATAACAATAATAGCAATATCAGAAAGCAAGACTAGTGAGATTCAATTCCAATAATTAATAAGGTCAATAATTAAATAATTGAAATGGTTTATTGCTATAAAACATTATTTGATCTAACTGCACGAGATTCTGCACGACTAAAGCCCAATAAAGTAAAATATATGCAATGAATGAAAATTTTCAAAATAAAAGGCTTCAATGATAATTTTGCTCCGGAATTTGTGAGGAAACCATCGGAAAATGCGATAAAAAGATCTTTTGCTTAATACTCAAACTTCTCGGGTTTTATTTAAATGAAATTATATTTACATTGAAAAACTTATTTCAAAATCTTCAACTTTAGACATTCAGTTTCCAATTCTATTTCTTATATTCCTTAAAATATCAGTACTATAACTTGCCAAATCTTATCATTTCCTCTTTCATCTCCCTCAAAAGTTCAGGTACTGTGCATTGAAAATGCATTTGCTCATCGTCTTGATATAGCTCCATATCGAAGTGGTTTTGCTATCATTTACGAAGCGTTTATACAATGGGTTCAGGTTTTCTTTTTTTCGTTAAATTTATAAAATCTATGTTAAAATAAGTAATTGTGCTAATATTTAGTAACAAAATAAACAGAAAACTGTAACAATTGTAATGCATTTGGTAGTATGAAGTATGAAAATTTAAGAATTAAGGCCAAGAAATATACGTCAATGAATTCATTATAGGTGCCAAACCACAAAATAAATTTATACTACTTAGTGATAAAAATTTTCCATCAAAAATTGTTTAATATAGGAAAATTTTCCAGGCATTTAACAATTTTCGAGTAACATTTCTATTTATGATTCTTCATGACATGCCTTTGACAATTATGAATTTTTTCTTTATTACTTCTTGTCGATGTGTTGGCCCACAGGTGCATTTATTTCCATTAACATATTTGTACATCATGTCATTCATAATAACTTAAAAATTTTAAGATTAGATTGGCTCCAATTTTTTAAATACCAAAACGATTGCATTATCAGAATTGTTTTGTGGTGCTGTAAATTTTAGTTAAGTTAATTTGATCAATTATTAAGCTGTTAATAAATGTTAAAGATTTGTGATATAAATGACCGAGAAATATAAAGCTTCAGTGAAAATTGTGATTATTACTGGATTTTTAAAATTCCAAGCGAATTATTTTACAGATTCTTCAATGGCCACTGATCATATCATCATCAGCGACAACTATAAGTATTCTGTGGCGCTTAGTGATGTTGTATTTCGCATATCGTCAAATGATATTTCCCTCGAAATCCCTACCACATGTTAATACGTTCACCCGTCAGCCAACAATCTATGAACAATTCAAACTTAATTTGAGTCAAAAGTATACTTTCTTTATTATACTTTATTATAAATAAGCAAATAAGTATGTGATGAATTAAATTTAAGGGAGTAAATTAGGAAATATTGTTAATGAACAAAAAAATAAATAATATAAAGAAATAAGTAAAATTGTTCAATTAATTTCTCTATCCACGCTTGGCTGATTAAAAAAAAAATGATTACGCTGTGAAATCATTGAAAGAGAATGAAAGATTTCACTAATTACTTATTAAGTATTAAATTAATTTTTCGTATTGAAAAGTTAATTTGGAAATAATTTAAATTTCATAATTTTGAGGAATGGCGGACGTTTGAAAGATTACGATGAGCTATGGCCTGTTAGATATAGCGTTCGAAGGATCTATGGACCAGTAGTAGAAGATAATTATGTAGAAGATAATTATGAACATCGAACTGTACCTGTAAAATCTGATAAGCAATCACATCGGAATGCATTATTCAAAGTATGAATACTATTATTTTCAGCGGTTGAAATATTTTTGAAACATTCGAAAGCAGTAAACATTTTATTGAATATTGCTCATTTCACATTTAAAAATTGCAATTTTTCGTTATAAATTAAATATTAGTTTCAGCTTCGATTTTTATTGACACCCATTTTGAAAGTTATTTTAACATTTTCATTAACATTTATTATATATATCTTATCAATATTGACCTGCTGTGCACCGTGCTGTTATCATTACATCTGTAGCTCAAGAAGTTTTTATCATCGTCACAAATGCTCAAGTTCTTTTGTCAGGTATACATTTCACATGCTAAATATATTATGAAATATAATTTCCCTAGCATTTAAACATTCACAATTAATTCAATTCAATTATTAAAATGATTGATGAGTGTTTCAATTTTTTGAATATTTAAAAATAAATAAAAATATTAAATGAACAATATTTTTTGCAGGTTTTTTTCGCAAGGATTCCACTGGGCATTGTTTATAACATCATTACTTTTAACAATAGTATTATTTGTTTTAAATGCTATTTTATTATCATCTGTACATGGGCTTGGTAACAATCAGATAGTATTTGAAATAAGCCATGTGCGTTTTTTTTTTGTTCTTATTATTTTACTTAATTATTAAATTTTTAACGATTTAAAATACTAAAAATTATTAGTGTATTAATAAATTGCATATATCAAAGAAATATCTATTAAATACCTAAGTCAGGTATAATAGATCTTTGCACCGCGTATTTGCGGATGCTTAATCTTTAAAGTATTTTCAACGCTAAAAAATGCTGTATTTCAGGTTTGTGTAGCAGTTTCATCATCACAAAAAACAATTCAAGCAACCATTGAAACAAGCCACAAAGAGCATTTGAGCACATCACAATTACAGTACATATGTAAACCTATTTGGAAGGATGGCGGTTTTAGTATTGGCCTTAATAGACAAGAAGCTGGCACTTGGCAAACACGAATAACATTAACTGAAAAACAAATTCTTGTAAGTCTTATAATTTTTTTTAAAATCATTAATTCAAAAATTTGTTAATGATTTTGTCAGTTTATTGTTTTTGTAAATCTAATCTTTTTGTAAATCTAATCATATTATTTTTACTTGATAATTTATTCAGATAACCTCAGAAATAGAGGTATTTAATTTTGTAGCAAAATTTTGCTAAATAATAAAATTGTGATTTTGCAAAAATGATTAATTTATCTAGGCTATTTCAACAAAAATCAGGATGGAATATGAAAATGATCGGCAGAAACCTCATCATACGTTATATTACGATTATGTATTATTACAGCATGTGGATAGATCACTACAAAGTTATACTTGCATACCTGGAAATAAAACAGATTGGTAATTTATAAAATTTTTCATTCAATTAAAAAAAAATTTTTTTTTGCATTTTTTTAATGAGTATAATACATTTCTATTTTATGGTCTTAGAAAAAAGTATTTTTTTTTTTGATATTTCAAATAATCGATTGTTGCATAACTTAAAAGTGTGGAAAATTTTTCAAATATTAAAATTAAGAAATTTATTTGACGTCTTTTAGCGTTAAATTTCACTATTAAAAATAAGTTATTCTTTTTGGATCTCTTTCATAATTTAATTTCAAATTTTAGGAGGTTCATAAATGAGATCAACGAATTAGCATGGCCATACTATGCGGCATGTGATCGTGCATGGTCGATCGAATGGAATGCTTTAATTAATTGCAATTTGTATAACAATATGAATTATTTAGAGAATAAAAGTTATTATTTTGATTATGTGTTTATTTGAATTCTTTTTTCAATTTTCTATCAATGCCATATCTTTCTTTTTTCTTTCTTTTTTTTTCAACTTCCTCTCAATGCCATATCCTTCTGCCTGTTTATTTGTTTTGTATTTTTATTTTCAATATTCCCACTTTCTCTAATTGATCACTGATCATCTTCATCATCATTGAATTTGTTCATTTTTAATCATTAGGCTAGAGATGCTAACATGTTGCATCTATTCTTGTACATCCTTTTTCATGTGAATATACGGGTTAGGAGACATTTCTAGAGAAAAGTAAAGTTATAAAGTTAAATATTGTGAATGGCCATTTAGAGCTTTTTCAATTTCTATATCAGCAGAAAAAACTAATATTATATTTGAAATTCAGTGTTAACATTTGCAGAAAAAGTGAAGCTTCAAAGTTATCATTCTTTTAACTTTATCATATCAGCACATTGATACCGAAACATTTATTTGATAGAGATGTCTGAGGTTTTTTTCAAGATGTCAGCTTTGTCATACTTCAAGTGTAACAGACATTCTGTGTTGTGAAATAAATGATATCATTTGTAAGACTTTTTGGCGCACTTAAATTAACTTTCACCGTGAATATTTTATCAGCTAGCGAAATTGGTGTTGTGAAACTTTTTGTTTCCTTTTTCTTTTAGTATTTAAAAGTGAATTGGCACAAAAGAATACGGTTGGAATAGTGGTTTTATTGGTTGAGGGAATGTTTGTTTATTCTTCTACGGACAATTATTCGGGAATATGACAGATAATGGCGGCCATGATCGTTAATTTGTTGTAGTTCCAGTAACATTACTGATAAACATTGGTGACAAAGGTCATCCGTAATACTTCTGCTGATAATGAACAATATTTACTAAAATATAACGCTTATGCATTTTCCAAAATTTTTAAATTTTGCGGAATTTCTTTTAATTCGGAATTCCCGGATATATGTGATGTTTTGGAATATTTGAAAATGAGCCTGTTACTTTGTTGTTCTGTACATTATAGTAGTTTGTGTAAGGAATGTGTAAAAGATAATTGGTTTTATTTTTGTTTTGTTTAGTTTATTCCATGAATTGATTTAGTAATTTATATGCATATTATTATTGATAAATTGTGGCAGTAATGAGGGGAAATTTTATGGAAGTGATAGAAAGTATCTCAAATTTAAGCAATAATTTTAAAACATAATGAAGTTGTGAAATGTTGAATAGTATAGATTGAATGCTATAAAGAATAGAGCAATTAATGATAACATTTGCACGACTAACAATTTGTTTGGAGAAGGCGGAATGGGGAAATTAGAGGGATTGAAAGAATGTTCAAGAAGGAAAAAGAAATAGATGAGAAGCCATTTCGGAATTTAGCAAAGAAGCGAAATTGAGTTCATTTATCTGGAAACTCGAATATTGATGAGCAGAAGTAAAGTAAATCTATCTGCTCCAAGATTGCACAAAAATCCCGAGATATCAATAATTGGTAGAGATAATTACGGGACTACTTCTATACGTTTTACCTTTGCATCAAATGTATGCTAAAAGAAACAATCACTGAATTTTAATTGCTTGCATAAATCTGCTGCATATTATCACACAAAATGGATGAATAAATTGTGCTAAAACGTACGTTATGTATTTTAGAAAATCGAGAGTTCCGATTCTCGCCATGAAGAAAATATTGGCTATAGTTGTACTGCAATTGTTTCACTCGATATTTTAAATATCGAAAAAAAAAATCCGAAATGAAATTGGAAAACCATAGGAACTATACATAATGGTGCGAAACGACGAAAATTTTATGGCATCGAATAGAATTATATATTCAAAAACTGGAAGGAGAATGCAAATATTTTGATCTCCTGATGAAATTATCTTTACAAGTCAAATTTTGATTTTCATTTCAGTCAAAGAGATTCTTTTTTTATGATCCATCAAAGCAGTTACAAAATTTCCATAACTGATTCAGTGATATTTTCCAGTAAATCCTATTTTCAGTATGCAACATTAAAAAGGCATTCTATAGGTAATGAAGTATTTCGAGATGAAATTCTTAATTTACTAAAATTTGCTACATTTGATTCTATTCAAAAATTAGCATACTTCAGCATACTTTGAATTAGCATAATTAGCATACTTCTGTGTCCGTTGTTTCTATAATCTCCTGCTAACAGCATTACAGAAAGCAACAGCAGTAGAACTTCAATTGATGCACAAGCAGTTTCTTCGTTTCAGAAATTGGCAATTTTTACAAAATAAAATTAGAAGCTAAAATAAAAAATTCAGTAGTTGTATGATGCAAATTAATGAATTCTCTTTTTTTATCAGTCAGAAATATAACAATTTTCTGCACTTCTCATTTGGCTAATCTTTCACTGCTTGCTTCAATTCTTTACTTTCTAACCAATGAAATACCGTTCCACAAAGATTAGGAAAAAAGAAAGTAGAAAAAGAAAACAAAAAGTTAAAAAATTAAAAAAAAATTAAAAATTGAAAACAGATAAATCATTGAGAAGCAAAAAGATGAATAAAGTAAAGAATAAAGAAACAAAATCATACAAAAAATTTGCTCCTTTAAGTTAATTTCTACTGTAAAAGCAATTGGATTCTAAGTTTGCAAATGGGATTGAGGCCATTTCATCCTCTCGCATAATTATGATCAAATTTAATATTTGTGTAAGGATACTTGTCAAAGTTCATTCTCTCGTTTGGGACAAGAAACCGATCCACCCCTATAAATTCAGTAACTTATTTGTTTGAGATTTTAACAGTGCCACATTGAGAAACTTTTGTTCTTATTATCTGATATGGATCAGAATTTATTTCTCAGTTTTGCAATTTTCTTATATGGTTTTTTTTTTTTTAAATTGATATTTAATCTGCTAGCTATTATTGCTCCTTTCACTTTTTAAATGAATTGTTAACAATTGATGGAGAAGAACCGAAGTTTCTGCTTCATTTACAAAAATGATCTTTTCGAACAATATGAGTTGATATTTAAATGGATTAGATGTTAAATTTTAAAAATGAGCATTGTAATACAATCATTTCCTCAACTACATCAAATGATTTTTTGTTTTTAGACCTTTTTTGAAAATTGCTCAAATTACTTTAACTTTTTTTCTTCAATTTTTGTATTTCCAAATTTTTTTGAACCTCAATCACTGGTTATCGTTTTTTCGCTTGCACCGAATTCAGAGCTTACATCTAATAAAAGTATTGCTTAAGGCAAAGCATATTTCCTCGTCTTATTTTAAAATATTATTGAGATATATCTGAAATTAGGTTCATTAAAAAGCTAACAGCAAACATTCTGTCAATTACTTCAATTAAATCAATTAAACGATATTTAGTGATGAGGATTTTGATATGCATCGATAGAAATAGACCAATTACTTATGCAGATGATAAAAGTTGATGTCTTCAATTTTTATTTTAGTAAAATTTGTTCAGTAAAAAATTATTGATGAATAAAAAAGTTTGCAGTTAACAAAATGTGTTGTTTTTGTCAATTTTTGAAAATTTCTATGTATATTTATTTTGCAACGAATTAATAGAGATTTATCAGAAATGATCTGATCATGTCATTGTATATCATTGTACATATGGTGCAATTGATAGAAATAGTGCAATTAACATTATGCTAATACCTTGTTACCATAATATTTATGCAAAACTGAATGCATCATTTAATCTTTACAGTACAGATAAAAGATCTTTTTCAGATAAATCAGATAAAAAAATTTTTTTTAAATCTTTTTTTTTAATTTTTCATTTAATCTTTATAATACAGATAAAAAATCTCGTTTTTATTTCATATATGCTGTGATATTTTTCATTTACAAATTTTTTATTTACCATTAGCTTCGATCTCTTATCTTTTCGTTTCTGAACAATTTATTCTTCATTTTGCTGACCAATAAAATTACATCAAAATAAATGTTTAATTTACCAATTCATCTTTTCACAACAATTATGTTCATAAAATTAATTTAAAACTTTTGGCGAACATTTTCACTTCTCATTGTCTTTTCTGAAAAACATTACCATCGATAAAATGAAAATAATACTCGTAGTGACTGTAATGAAAACGAAACATTTTGCCTCTTTTAAGCAAATAAATTTGCAAAACTTTTTCCATTTTTCTTATATATCATAATTTTCTTTGACTTACTTGACCAAAGCACATCTCGAAGATATATTGTGAAAAGAAATTCATTGGATAAAGTTTCTATGAGATGAGATCGTAATTGAATAAATTAGATTACAACCGATAATTCTACCCTTGCAACAAACTTTGTATATTGAGGAACAATTTAGTTTAAGGTATATTTTCATCAATTGATTAAGGTCATTATTTTTAATGATGAAATTTTGTAGCAAATTTATTTATCAATTCAGGAAAATATTTTATGATAATATAATAATGAAATATATTTAGTTAACTAAAGATATATTTAATTCGCCAGAGATGTTACATTCCAACTGTATGTCCCAAGAAACAATTATTCAAGAAGTTAGGATCTACAATTGCAGCTATTTCAAGTTTATTCAATAAATTTTTTTTTTTAAAGCAGAAAAATATTTGCGAGATACTTACAAACGCAATTATCGATTTCAGTCTGAAAATTTCTGAAAAATTCTGGAAAATATATTGGAATTCTATTGTATAAAAAAAATTGTAACAACTTCTCATATTTTACAGATTGAAAAGGGCAAAGTTAAAAAAAGTTTCACTGGTAAATTATTTAGAACTTTTCGGCGCATTTCTTTTTTTTTTGAACAATTACTCAATTCCATTAAAAATTAAAAGGCGACATTTGTAAGTTAATCAAATTATTAGCAGTTATTGATTGCACCAAATACATTAAATTTTTGTCGTGACTTATTATTCAAAAGCTGAAAAAAATACGAATGATATTATCAACGCTAAATTTCGATTGATTATCAATCATTATAAAGGCCTTAACAATTTAATGTATAATTAAATGCTATCGTAAAGAAAGAGATTAAAAGTGCCAGCGCGACTTTAAATTATATATAGCTAAAGTTCGTAAAAGTAAATGAAAATCATAAAGTATAAGTAACAGTTTTTTTATAAAATTTCACTTTTTGATCACTTATTTGTGTTAAATGATAGACGGACAATAAGAGTATATTGTATTTGCAGAATTCATTTTGAACAATTTTATGGAAACTCATGATCGTACAAATATTGCAAAATGAATAGGTTATAAAGGCCAAGCAAAATTATTGGAGCATTTTCGCATTAAATTTATACAAAATATTTGCATTTTGAGTGTTATGTAGTTAGTTGACAAGCTTTTAGTAATTTTTCAAAATAATTTTTCAAGTAATATTTAAACTTATTTCCTGATCTTAATCAAAAATCGGTTCTCAATTTTGTAATTGCTTTAGATAGTTTTTTTTTTCCTTTTAAAAATTGATTTTTCTTTGTTATTTTTTTTTCCCTTAAAGAAAAAATAAATAAAAGACTGAAAGTAAAGCAATTACTAATGACGAACTTGTTTGTTTCGATTTGCATTTTATTTCTGTCATTTCATGAGTAAGTTAGATTGATTGAATTAACAATAGTATTTACTGTTAGATTGTTCACTTCCTGTGCATAATATAATTCCAAATTCGTGATAACTGGAAAATGATGAAAAAGTCTGCGTGGTTCATTGTAACAGCAACATTTACAATTAATTTTTTTCCTAATAAATTAAACGGAATTCTTCATATGCACTAAGATTACTATTGATTTTCTGGATTTTATCTGATAACATTAATGGCAATAATTAATGATATGTGAAATGTTCTGAACAAACAAAAATATTTTGCCGATTTATTTACAATAAATTCGATCTTTACATTTATTTTATGAATTTATTTACAATAAAGTCATACGATTTGAAAGATCCATAGAAATGTCTTCTCTCTAAATCATCACAACAATTTTTTAATGGCTATTTATTTAAACTTGAGATGGAAAGGACATCGTTTGTGAATTAAGCAACCACAATTATATTGCTTGCATGAAATCAAAAATTTTAAATGTAAAATAAGCATATGTGCAGATCAACCAGGAAAAGTGAGTAAATGAAACGGAAATTATTTGAAATAACAAAATTCTTTCAAGAATTGTTTTTGTTATAATTATTAGCAATAAAATTGCACATAAAGTAATTGAAGTAAGCGTCTGCATGAAACAAATTTATGCACCCAATGATTATGCAAATCTTTTTTAAAATAATATGACTTCAAGAGGACAATCCTAATAGTAACGATGCTAAACGCATTACCAATAAACCAATATAAACCTTTTTTTTTTTTTATTCTTGCATATTAATTTTCAGACTTTCCCCCGAATAGGCAGAAAATGAATCAGTGTAATCTAAAATTTAAAAAAATATACACCATAAAGAGCTAATTTTGGAAAGGTTTACGAGCTTTAATCATTGAAGTTTTTATACATTCTTCACCTAAAATATATTCCTTTCCGTTTTCATGGCTTATTAAATTTTAGTAAATGAAGGCAGTAAATGGGATGACCATAGGATAATGGACCACCAACAGAGATCGTACTACTACTACCTCTTCTAGCTCTCTATGACCAAAATAAAATGAATGTATATATATGTCTGTGTGGGTGTCTGTGTGGATGTGTGTGTATATGCAAAGGCCATGTATGGGTCGATACTGATGAGCGCAGCAAAAGCATTAGCTGATATTGGAGAAGAAAAAAAAAAGAAGTGTTTTCTCTTCTCTTCTTCCCATCCGTCGCAGTCTACTAGCCATATATTTCCATAGCTATTATAGATTTGATAAGCGATTAAGCAACATTTCCAAGGATTGCAATAGCAGCAGCAGCAGCCAAGCAGTAATAGTTGAGGATTCATGTCCAGTTGTTGCTGATTTACTTTCTCGAAACGGATGGCACGAAATGGACCGAAGAGGGACGATGACGATGATGACGACAACGATAATATTCTTGCCGTATTCCATCCTCGTCCAATTCCTTCCACTGATTTTCCTCATCAATTGAACCATTCTATCAATTGTTTACTCATTTAAAATTCTTCTTTCTTTTTTTTTTCTTTATCTCCTATCAAATGAAACGATAAAAGAAAAGGAAAAAATACGATCAAATTGGAGACAAAAAAGTGCACATTTTCATCCTCATCCATTTTTTTTTTCTCGATAAATGGCGAAAATAAACAATCGTAAAAACGGAAGACGGAATAGCGACATATTACTATTATTATTATTATTATTATTATTATTTACGAAGTGTAAACCTAAAATACTTCGATTTCGCAAATTTTTATCATCAAATTATCGAAAAGAGAACGAAAAAGTAAAGAAATCTGTTCATCATCAATCATCAAATTCTCGTCTTCTATGGAGCAAACAATGTCATTGCATCAACGGATACGAGGTTAGGAAATTTTTTCTTTGAAATAAATAATTCCAAAAAAAAAAGAAAAAAAAAACTTCATAAATGTTCATAAATATTTTCCTTAATTAGCAACACTTCCTTCTTCATAAACTTTTTTGTTTAGTGGAAAAAACAAACAAATAAACAAAAAAAAAAACAGATAAGTTGTAATATCGGAAACTATTTGAAAAAAATTGAAAAGAAAAGGAAATGAATGACACGAAATGGACCGACAATTTGCAATATTACGATCTCACCCAGAATACTTCGATTTTTCAGTTTCAGTTTAATTCTCGAGAAGTGGCAATATTTTTACTATCGTTACTCAAGACAAAAATTTCGAAATTCATAAATGAGTATCAGTGATTATTTGGCTCGATACTGTATGATATCTCGAAGATCATAATTTAGCTATGGAAATTTAGACATCAAAATGATACATAGCATTTTGCTTGTTGCAACATTGCTGCTTTTAAAAGGGTATATGGTAATTTTATCTGCCGCTCATAACCAACCGCTAAACAAGCATGCACAATGCAGCCAATACCGCCTCGTTCCAAAAGTCATAAAACACCGATGCTTTGCAAGCTGAGCATCAACCTCGCATTTTTAACACCGAGAAGTTTGTTAGGTTTCACTGCTTTTCTACCTTATCAATCAATTGCTATGTGCTGTTTCTCAGTTCTTATCATCTCTTATCAAATTCTATCTTTTATTATGTTTCTCTTTCTTTTTCTCACTCTTCAATCATCGATAAAACATAGGTTTTGGAATTTTTTTCAATCTTTTCCAACTATTTCATTTTATCCCATTTTTTTTTTGCTTTCAATTGCTGGCTCAGATATTTTGCAATATTTCGGAAATCTTTGATTTCTAATACAAACATCTTACGATTGTTATTACAATCTACAGCACTTTCCCTGAAATATGTCATATTTTTGATTTAACAGAAAAACTTTTACTAAAGTAATGATGTAAGATTATCATTTTATTGGTATATCATCACAGCAAAATCTCTTGCTTTCACCGAAAGTTAACATCATACTTACACATACAATTTAATCGTACTGTTAATCATTTTTCAGAATTTGAATGTCGAATACGGCGATGGAAGCAGGTGAGATTTGCTCCTCTAACGAGACATGTTTTTGCGTCGCGTAGGTCATTCAGCGTGGAACCGCAAGTGGGACAAATTTCACGGCATTTCCCGAATCCAAGCTGTTCATTTCCACCACAAACCAATCCACTTCCACGACGACAAATGGGTAATTTTTGATGTTTGATATAAAAAAAAATTATTCGTAATATATCTAATAGTGAAAAAATGAAGAATGTTCTTAATTACTCTTTTTTTTTTGAACATATTACGAAAATTTTCTCGCGGGCACTATTCTTAAATTTATATTCATATTGAAGGAAAAAAAGGAAAGTAAGATCTGTTCCATTCGGTAGTCATCACATTTTCGTATCTAAAATGTAACATACTGATTGATAACGAATTTATTGTCCAAAGATAATTATTTATGAACTATGGAAGACAAATTTTAGCACTCCAAATGTTCAATAAGTTTCTTTCTTGTAGCTGATGGAGCACCTCGTCGAAATCTTCCGGAGCTACCAACAACTATTTCTCAGTCTTCACCAGTCAGTACTGCTGATGATGCGGTATGTCATTTGAGAAAAAAAAGAGAAGAGTTGTTTTTAGATTCTGATTTCAGAAACGTATCCGATACAAAATTAGAACCAATATAATTAAAGCGAGTTAAAAAATCTCGAAAAAAAATTAAAATTAGATTTTTTAATACGATTATCTTAAAAAGTAAAAAATGTTAATATAACTGCACAGGTATTTACTTTTTTTCAACTTTTCTCATTTCAGTTTCACTGTCTCGTAATTTTTTTTATTTGTCATTGTTTTTAGTTAACTAAACGTTTGGCAGAGATCAAAAGACTCTCGGGCCGGATAACCATCATGAAAACTGTATATGAAACAACAAAAGAAAGTCTGAAACGAATAGGAGAGCTCGGTTCCGGCACTTGTGGTGTTGTCTATAAAGCCCGATTCGAACAAACCGGGACGATTATGGCTGTTAAGGTTTCATTACTTCGATAATTCGTTGGTTTACGAGAGTGTTCTACAAAGATTATTTAAAAAGTCATAGTTGTTGCAATGTTTTTAAGTGATTCTGGAAAAAAATTGTCGCTCTTACTTGGTTACTACTTTTTATAACTTTATCTTATTATACGTCTGAATTCTGTCTTAATTGTTTAAGCAAATGGTTATGACATCGGTGGCAGAGGAGAACAAACGTGTCCTAATGGATCTAGAAGTGGTACTTCGTTCACACGATTGTCCTCATATTGTACGATGTTACGGGTGCTTTATTACTGATGTAAGCTTTATTTATTCTTTTAATACCCTGGTAAATTTATATCTGAAGTCTTTTTTTAAAAACTTTATCCATTTCTATGAAGTTTTTTTTATTATCAGTTCACAATGCACTGTCAGTTTGGGACATGTACATTAGATAAAACAGTGGTTTGAGGTGCTTGATATTATCGCACGGAATTCTCAGAATTACACATCTTAGGTTCCTTATGTATGAAAAGGTGAGATCTTTGTTAAAAGTATTTATGGATGTGAAATTTGAATGTTTCAGTTTGAAGTACTGATTTGCATGGAATTAATGGCAACATGTCTGGATAAACTTTCCAAACGTGTGCCGGGTGGTTTTCCGGAGGATATCCTTGGTAAAATGGCTGTTTCAATCATAAAAGCTTTGGATTATTTAAAAGTCACTCAGGTAGTAATCATTCTGGATTTTTGTGTGATTGTTCTATATATTTTTGATCAAAAAAAAGTACGGAATGAGAAGTGGGAAGAGATATCCGTACTGTCTTAATTCATGAACTAAGTCAATGATACAAAGGTCTTTTATAATGAATATGATAAAGTTAGTTAATTCCTAATGCTGCTGAAGTAAAGTACTTTAAAACATAATCTAAAAAACTGAAAAATTATAGCACTTTTGTTATTGCTGGTGGCATAATACAAAATTTAACTGAGATTTTTTTAAAAAAC